GAGGAACCAATGTAATAATCTGAACAATAAAGATTTAATTTTAAAAAATATATATATATATAAAGAATGAGTTAACAATGAATTTTTTGCATTTCTTATGGTTCTAGGGACTTCATATAGAGTATATGAATATATATTGTGACATATTTATACATTTCAGTTATCTATTATGTTTTGAAACTTTATTTGCTATTTTTTACATATCACTTCATAGTATTAGTATTTTTAACAATTCCTTAGTGATTTCTTCCTCAGTATTTCGATTGTCCTTTCATTCTTTTACTTTTCTCTTTCATGGATGCCATGTTCTTTGGAAGCTTGTTTAGACCAAGTTAATGGACTTTTAGGCTTCCTCCACAATAGAAGTTCACTTTTTGAATAATAAGAATTATATGTCACAGGAGGGGTATCAGGATTTTAGATATGCTTAAGTGGGGCACTGCCAAAAAAAGTTTGGAAACCACTGATTTAAAGAGTATTTCTTTCTGTCCGGCCGGTATGGCTCGGTGGTTGAGTGTTGACCTATGAACTATTAGGTCACAGTTCGATTCCTGGTTAGGAATCCCCAGTGTGGGGGGTGTGCAGGAGACAGCCTATCAATGATTCTCTCTCACCATTGTTTCTCTCTCTCTCTCTCTCTCCCTTCCTCTCTCAAATCAATAAAAATATATATATATTTTAAAAAGTAATTCCTTCTTATCAACGTAGTGAGCAAGTCTCTTGCAACGATTTTTCTTTCAGAACCATCTGATCTAATCGGGGCCTGGTTAAATGTGCATTGTCTCAATCCTGTTCTACAGAGCAGATGTTGCAGCCATACGAAATCTAAAACCTACATCTTCCATCTACACTTCACATCTCATCTCTATAGGGATCTTGGATATCAATGCCTTCCCATGTTGGTCTGTCACACACACAAAAATGTTTCCAAAAGTTGAAGGTAGGTGTTCAAAACAAGGCACCCTAAGATGTGCTTCAACAGTAGGTAGATTATGTTGAGCTGAAGGCACCAAGACCCTATGGGCTCAAGAGAAGCTTCTGCTCTCCCCCTGAACTACCTAGAAGAATTTAAATTAGAAGCCTGGCCCATGATAAGTGTCAAAACCAATAATGACTTTTTACCTATCTAGGTGGTAGGCAAACTAATACCTCCTGAACATGTGATCTCCAGTCAAAGATCTTCTGAAGTTTCAAAGTGCATTACCTCATCCCAGGCTCAGACTGTCTCATATGCTAAATTTCCCTTTCAGTCTCTGAGCCTCTCTTGCATGTGGGGTCCTGACTCTGTCATGTGTGTGCAGCTCCCATACATATCACCTCTTTCTGATTAGGCCAGCTGAGAGAACCTTGAAGGTAGAAGGAAGTATCTTCCTCCCACACAATGGTCATTAACTTTTGGTGAGATTCCTATGGGGGACCTGGATGGACACAGCAGACAGAAAGCTGTGGACAAAAACGCAGAGGTAGCTGACTTTATCTCCCTCCTAAAGGCCTGCTTCCTTGCAGATATTGAAACTGCTGATGTACTTGAGCAGTTGATGAAGGCTTGACTGCTACCTGAACTTCCTGGGGTGGCTCTAGTGACTACACTGCCATCTTTCCCTCACAGCGCAGGCGCTACCAGGTAACCCTGTTGGAAAAGCAAGTAACCACCAGCAGGCCTTTTCCAACCACCCTCCTATGTGTCCCAAGCTTGTTATGGCCGCCAAGCAGAGCCAGCCCCTGAGTCAGCTCAGAGGACCTTCCTTTCTTCTGTGTCATCTCCCTTATCCTTTAGCAAAAGCCTAAGAAAATATACCCAGAAATTTCTCTGGTAGCTCCTCTTGAATTCTATCTTGGAGAACCCAAAACCCCAAATGACAGGAACATTTTAAAGAGGGAACTTGGGCCCTGCCATTCTCTGTGATTAGAGCATCTGCCCCAGACAGAAAGGATGCGGGTTAGAGTCCAGGTTGAGGGCACTTACCTCGGTGGCAGGTTCCCTGACACCAGTAGGGGTGCATGTGGGAGGCAACCAGTCCACATGTTTCTTTCAAGAAGATGTGCCCCTCTCTCTCTCTCTCTCTCTCTCTCTACCTCCCTCCCTCCCTCCTTATTCCCTTCCACTCTCTAGAAATCAGTGTGTGTGTATGTGAGGGGGGGGGGGCGGGAGGGGATGGAGAATATATCCTATGGTGACGATTTTTAAAAAAGAGGAAACTTGTACAGCTATAAGAAAAAAAAATTAGTAGTTGAAAACAAACTCCCTCTGGCAGGATCATCAGAAATAGAGAAGCAAAGGTCTGCAGGTCTGCACCACCTACATCCATGAACTTGAGAAGGAAAAGCAGACACAGAACTGACCCAAGACAGAGCGTTTACCTGAGAAGCAGCCATATTGTCCTCTTCCTCCTCCTGCTCTGGGTTGTTTTCTCAGGCGACTTTATGTTGACCAATCACACCTGCATTTTGAGGATATGTCTTGTTGTCACCACACTCACAGGCAGAAGGACTTGAATGATGAAAAATTTCACACTCCCCTGCCCTTTGTCACAGAAGAGAATAAGAAACAATGAGCCCCAGCAGGTTTGGATCAGTGGATAGAGCGTTGGTCTGCGGACTGAAGGGTCCCAGATTCGTTTCTGGCCAAGGGCACATGCCTGGGTTGCAGGCTCGATCCCCAGTAGGGAGCGTGCAGGAGGCAGCAATCAATGATTCTCTCTCATCATTGATGTTTCTATCTCTCCCGCTCCCTTCCTCTCTGAAATCAATAAAAATATAAAGAAAAAGAAAAAAGAAACAATGAGATGTTACATTTAGACCAAACTTTTTTTCTCTCCTGTCTTCCCTTGCTCTCCGAGCCCACAAATGTGCACAATTTCCAACCCAGCAATGAGAATGTGGGCTGCACTTCTGTTCCTCCCAAACCCAAAAGAGAACCCTGTTACCTCCCCTGGGCCAAAGCCTGCTCTCAACTCTCATAAATGCACCGGGGAAGATAGCTCTTCTGATAAATACTAGCCTCGTTTTGAATCCAAATGACCCAACCCATCTGAAATCTGAGTAGTGTGAGGGGTTGGGACAGGAACGTCTAGAGCACAGACTCCCAGGGTGGATTCCTAGAGGTAGGGTTGTCCTGGAGTGGGCATGGCCAGATCCTTGGATACTGTTCAGATGCACCAGGGGAGAAGAAACCCATATGGTGGCAACAGAGTTGCCCTCAGTATCCTTCCCCAACTACCCTGTCCCCAGTTCTTCACCCAGTCCCCTCCCATGGGACACATGTATAACAGGACAACATACTCTGTGATGCCCTGTCCACAGGTGCATAGAGCCTCAAACCCTAAGGGACCAGGAGCAGAAAAGTGTTTCCATCACAGCTTTGTTTGAAAATGAACTGAAGGAGCATAGTCTAGAAGACTGTCACTATATGAGATTGCTCATACACCATTCATGTTCACTTTCTCCAACTGACGCCCAAATACAAAGCAGTTGGGCTTAGGTTCCCTCTTTTATCCTAAGGCCTTATTTCATTTTACTGTCCCCAGCTTTAATAAACATACTCTCAAAAGGGTGTGGGAGATGCAGGAAGAGACTGGACAAAAATCGTGCACCTATGGATGAGGACAGTGGGTGGGGAGTGAGGGCGGAGGGTGGGGTGGGAACTGG